ATGGATCGGGGCCTTTTGGACGGCCTTTTTGTATGAACGATATGGAGTTATATGGATCGGTGATATGGAGGGTGGAAGGTGAAGACTTCGGTACACAGCACTGATTTGGGCAAATTCCTCTGCCCCGACCGTACCCGCTTCTGCAGCCGAACCAGCAGGAACGTAACATTTCTGTGGCTCAAAATCTTGAACAGGCATCCAAATTGGGAAAGCTGCGGACTCCAGCCCGTCCTGGACAGTGAGAATCAGCAATATGGGGTTCTTCTGGAATTTGAGCTCTGGTATGAAAAGGTTGTTTCATTTGGCTGACTCTGATACCAACAGGAACCAGGGTGCTTCATTGATGCTGGAATCCTGTGTGGCCTTGGGACAAAACCGGGGGGGCCTGGTTGACCACCGAAAATGAACAGAATGAATAGACTTCGAAGGAGGTCAACCTACCATTGGACCATGGATTGGGGGTCCCAAGCTATCACTTGCAATATGCTCTTGGCAAATCTGTGTTCTCTGATGTGAGGCTTCCCTACTCAGCAGACCCGTACTTGTTTTTTTTGGTGCTTCAAACCAATACCTTTGATAAATACATGATACACCAGCCACGCTACGAAGCATCTATCATCTTCATCATCATCGTCGATCAAAATAAAGGGACTTTGTGTAGACCAAGGTTCATGACAACATTTGTCGCAAGCGTCATGTGTCCCGGCAATCTCCAGATGGTCAATTACTTGGGCCGGCAAACCCCACACATCCATGCTTCCACTTTCATCATCTTTCATCAGCATCCGCACCCACCGACCTCTGGCAAGACGCGGGTTCGCTCCCGTCGGGGCGGACCGTGTGAGCGCTGGGTCGGCCGTGAGACGAGCGTTTGCGACCAGGTGCTGACATGTATTGTGAGAAGTGCACCGTAGTGGACCTCATTGGCAGTGCGGCCCCTCATTGGACCGAAGCAGAACACGAAGCAGAGCGCGTCGCCGTGAAACCGACTCCCAGCGGGATGTCGAAAATTTTAAAGCATCAAATGAGAAGAGCGGGAGTCAACATGGAGACCTTTGAATGTTTTCAGCTAAACCGGGTCGATGAACATTTCTCAACATCTTAGACAGACATAAACAGACAACAGAACTATGAACTATCAGTCTAGTGACTGCTGAGACAGCTGCGGCTTTGATGCTGGTGGCCACCAACAGCTCCGACGTTCGATTTTTTCTTGACATTTCATCCTTACAAAGGAAAGCAGGTGAGTCTTCGGGACCTTTTGATTCTTTTTGCCAGTTGGCCGTATGAAACATAGGTTTTGTTCCAGAAAATGCTTTGCTCGTTGGCCGTGTCGTCATGGGCACCTCTTCACTTTATATCAAGTGCACCAAAGGAGGATGCACTGCACCATGAGATGAAACAAACATGATCACTCATCTTATATACCGGCCACGATATAAAAAGCACTGTTCCGCCACGTGGGCACCTCTTCCTTTTCAAAGACATGTTTACCGCGCAAATAGATCTGGGTCCTGAGAGTCAGAGGACGACTTGGGACGAAAACGAACGGTTTGAGGAGCACTGAAAATGGCCTCCAACCTAACTAAGAGCGACGGCCTGAGACCTAAGAGTGATGGCCTCCAACCTACTGGTGATGGGCTCCAACCTACTAGCGATGGGCTCCAACCTAGCGATGGGCTCCAACC